TATTCAAGAAGACAGCAGATGACGAATAACGTATTTACATTTTTGAAAATCTCAGTTGAAAGGAAAGTTGGACGTCGAAAGACAGTTCAACCACCGGGAAGTTTGAGAGAAGAAACACTTAGACTAGAACTAGAAATTTCAACAGTGAAATGTCGAGACCTAACCGCCAATCTAGTACTAGGCTTAAATTCGTGAAAGCGAGGCAACATCGAGTAAATCTAATAAGTACAATCACCATGAAAATATTTATGGAACAGGAAAAGAGAAGCTTCATTACGGCAGTGGGAAAGTAATTGATGCCGAGATATCATATCAGGACCGATTTCATTGCAGATTATTCTTTGGACTTTATCATCAATCTCAAGATATATAGCAGCAGTAACAGACTAGATGTCGCAGTAATATTCGGTACATAGACGAATAGTAGACTTATAAATATGCAACGATAGTCTTCGGTGAGAAAAAAGTGTCTAGGCTACATAATGGACAACTTTCTTGGCAGCAAACTTCCCATTTTATGTTAGTTAAAACCGTTACAGCCATAAGGCGCAGCGAGTTGATTTTTCTAAGTTAGCATCGGAAAAAAAAACGTTCTTTAAGAAGATTAATATAGAGTAGTTTCATTTTACCGGCGTTAAAATTAACAAACCACTTCTTGTCGCAACTCGCAGCCAATTGGAAGTCATTTTCGAGATAACGTAAACAGATAATGTCAAAATAAAAGACTTAAAGCCGAAATAAAGCGTTTTATATGTCCTCTCTCATCAGAGTTAAGATCGAGCACAAACGATGTACACATTCTTACCTCCGCTGTGAGAAGACCGATAAAACTGGGAAATGATAACATAAAGCCAATTCCCAGACAAAAGCTGCACGATGACGTACTTCCGGTATCGTTCAATGACCTTCTTCATCCCCTACGTAAAGAAGCTTTACAGTTATTCATGAATCACGTCTGCACCGCTTGTTTGTTTGGACAACCTAGGCGCAAAAACTTTACGGTACCCTAAGTCGTCATGCGCTATATCTGGTGAATGTCCATAGCTGACGCCCACCATTGCCACTATTTGAGTTAACGCGATTCGTCGGTCTTCACTGATCTAGGCATCCACTGTCTGGATGTGCTTGTCCGTGGGCGACCAGATCGTATTTTTCTCTGTGGTACTTTTCGGCTTAAAAGTGCCCTAATCACTGACGTGTTTCATACTGAACCAGCATCCGGCGATGGATTTCCGCAGATTTGACTCACTACTCTGTATCGCGATAGTGTAATGCTGAGGTGGGTGTGCACACATCTGACTTCGTTGCTCTCTGCCACGCCTGAACGATGGAATTTTGCTCTTGGCTAGCCACTCGTCGTCTTACGCACACGACATCAGCGTCAACCTGCTTTTTTTTTTTTTTTTTGTGTGTGTGTGTGTGTGTGTGTGTGTGTGTTTTTTTTTTTTTCGCATCATTTGAAAATTCTATATCATTTCTGATTAACCATGGTATTTTGACATTATCACTTTACAATAATAATTGTTGTCCCCTTTTTGTTATAAATGTACACTTTTCTCTTGCGGTCATCGAAGTTAAGCAACATCTACCCTTGTCAGTACCTAGATGGGTGACCTCTTGGGAATATCAGGTGCTGTAATCTTGTATGTGCGGGTAGTGTAATAGATGACAGCTCGGAATTGGAAATCCGAGAGCTGTGATCCAATTTCTGTTGGTTTCCTTATGTTCACTTACGCTTAAATACCCTGCGGAAAGCTATGAATCCATCGCTTCTTCCTCCGGCTATGGGTTAACTAGTAAAGCTTGTATCAGTAAAGCGTTATTATCGCCAAAAACTTCTTACAACATCAGAATATTTTCTGGTTTACATAACCTGCAAAAAAATGATTGATTTGTTTTTTACGGTTTATCGACCCTTGTGCAGGTAATTTAAAACCTTAATATATTTTTGTGGGGATAATAATGATTTAGTGGTGCAAGTCTTTCTAATAAACCCATAGCTTTGCGGAGAAGCGGTGGAGCCATACATTTCCTAAAAGTATTTTACAGGTGCTTAAGTGAGTATAATGGAACTCAACTGGAATTTGAACTTGGCTCTACGATTAACAATTCCGAGACATTAATCACTGCACTAGTGGTACAGTCAAACTTTCTGAACCTAGTTTTTCCAAGCGAACCCCTCTCTAGATACTGACCTGGCTCGACGCTGTCTAGTTTGGATGATCGTATGGGAAACGATGGTGGAACGTGATGTGACCGTAATCCTGCAAAATCTACTTAAGCCGTAAAACAAAACAAATCAATCAGTCAAAATATTGCATCGTGTGTAGGATTAGATTAGGTGGATAGACATATTTTGTGGATGTATAGTTCCTTTGTACAGGGTATTAAGTTTTTTTTTTGCATTTTTTTGGGCAACATAAAAATTCTCAATAAAAAATCCACAACAAACTAAAATCGATCGCTACTTCTGAACAACTCCAAGAAATCCTATAAAGAC